GGTAGAACCTCTTTACCACTTCTGGCAACACAAAGGTCGGTGTGCAGCGTATGATATTCCTGAACACTCATGTGTATGCGTGAATGTTAATTATTACAACCAGCGCTACTAACATTCAAAATCGAGTTGTTGAAAATTTTTTTGATGAGTTACCAAACGCAAAATGAGGGTAGCCTCGTTTTGAAAATCTTTGCCACGGATTTTAACCAAGCAGTTCTTTGAGGGGGTAGAAAAGTCCAGGAGGTAGGCAGATATTTCAAAACAAAAACAAGGAAGTATTCTGAAAAATGTTCTCCATAACGGCAAACTAAATTTTTGAGCAGCACTTTAGATTATGGGAAAAGGGATTTGGCGGACACATTAAGCCCAAAATAGCGCACCTCAGCAGCAAATAACTATTAACTATGTGTCTTTAGCTAAGAAATTGTACGAAAATTTTTACAAAATACTCATTTGGATAAGGGACATGTTAAGTGCTGTGCGGGAAATAACAAGGGGAGAGAAAGAGTGCATGCGAGCAAGGAAAAACATGCGGCAAATCAAATTTTTTTACAATCTAATTCAATTCGTTACGCTTTAACGTTCATTTTCCTGCACCTATTTCGAGCGAACTATTATCGACATGCACGAGGACCCAATTTACCCTGGACCTGCTTTCTAAGCGTCCTCCAAACAGAGGGCCAAAAACCGATTCTTCAGCAGATGATTTGCAACTGATCAGTTCTGAATATCGTTCTTTTTCAGAAAACAGATTGGGATACCAAGCTCGACTGACTATGTCGTATAGGTCGGATTTCTTTGGAATAGTTACATCCCGTCCATTCTTGCGAAAAGCTGGCACAGCCTCCTATCACCTCCAGCTTGGTTTTCGTACAATTCAAAAAAACTTGCGGGCAGCTATTATCCACACACACACACTCGCAAATTCACGACGCAAAAGCGGCGTACCTGTTGCCCACCAGCATTATTCATATAATTTATGTCGTTTGTGCCAGTTTGATGGTTGACTGCGTAGGTCTGATACTGCAGCTGTAGCTTCTTTTTTGTCTCTTCTCTCCTGTTACACTGCAATAATGAAGGAAATTAAGAATGCTTAATTATAGCTATTGGATGTGTAGCCTCTCCAACAATGACAATTCAGAAAAACGGAATTTCCATTTGGAAGAGTGTGCGGATAGGATATATACTCAAAGTATATAGATTTTGATGTGGATTCATGTACAGATTTAGAAGACATGAATTTTTTGACGCGCAACATCAGCTCTGTAAAAAACATTTGAATCCCAGAAATTTCTCATATTAAAACAAATAGCTCATTGTTTTTACCCGTTTTTACGACAGTTTCGCGCTTTCTTTTTGTAGCAAATCTGAACGAACCTGCCTGTACAGACCAAGGCCGATGCAAATATTCAGAAATAACAAGCCGGAACCAACTGCTACTGTCACCGACAACATTGTACTGTTCTGAGCTGCTTTTACAAAAGGCACTGGAGTTGACGGAATTTTGTCGGAGCTTGTTTCGGTCGATGCTGCTGCAAATCTGTTTTGAAGCTTCCAGTGATAAAATAATAGACAAAACTTTGGGTGGAAACTCCAAATTTATTCGATTTCACATTCGTCAAATGTTCTGAATTTATCTAGGTATGTCTAATAACGAATCATACATCTCAGCGCTTGAATCACATCTGGCAGCAACACACCCGATAAAACAATCCAGGAAAGGTTGCATTCTCAAACCTGTAGTGAGCTTTTTGATAGCCTTTGGAAGGGGTGTTGGCGGAAGTGGTGG